GCATCAGGACAAAGACTAATTCATCCTGGCAAACAACCCACACACGTTATTTCCAGAACAAACACGCCGCACGGGGATTCAATTTCGCCCCCCAAGCGTCTGTGAGGAACCAGAGCAGAGGATTCAGCCTCTGCATACTTATATGATTTAAGCGTCTGCTTAGGTCTCAAAGTCCGCTGACGGCATCCCCAGGGGACACAGGAGGCCGGCTCGGGATCCGCTTCCGGGGGCCTGGCGGAGGGGGTGGCCGGGTGACAGAACTGAGGTCTGGGCCCCAGCCCTGCCTCACGCCCCGGAGCCCTCGCGGTCAGCCTCAACAGCGTGCGCGGTGCGCGAGGAGGCCCCGGTCTCTCCGTCCTGCGGAAGCAGCCCAGAGGGCGCGGGGTCCCACGGGGGCACAGCCACCCTGCCCGGACCGGACCCGACGTCCTTTCCGACGGGAGAGCCAGGGCTCCCGCCCAGACCGTGCGGCTTCAGGGCCTACCAGGTCTCAGCCCCCTGCCCCCCCACACCCCAGAGGCTGGCTCCTGGCTCTGACTCGGGGCAGCCCTGCGGTGCGTGGGAGTATCCGAGCTTGGGGGCTGCCCCTGCACCCCATCGGCCGGCTGTTCCTTCCAGGAGCCAAACTGTGCTCGTGCTGCCGGCTGGTGGCTTCCAGAGCGCAAAGTCCAGCGGCCCCGCGGGCCCCGCCCTGCACGGTGGGCTCTGGGGCCGCAGGAGGGCCCGGGGTCGCCGCCAGCGCTCACCGATCTAACCCGCCTGTCGCCGGGCCCCGCCCTGTGGCTCCCACGGGCCAGCTGGCCCCAGCTTCATCGGGAGCGGCCCTATCTCAGGGATCGCGCCGTTTGCCTTTGATAAAAGTCAAAAGAAAGGGAGAGAAAAAGAGGGAGCGGGAGCGGAAGAAAGCTCCAGGGGCCGGCTGGCCCCACCCTGTGGGGTTCTAGAAGTCTCCGCGGGCGTGGGCCCAGAGCGGGGCAGGCTGGGAGGCTGTGTGTACTTCCAACACGTCCCGTACCGACATGGAAACCAGGCCCAGAGAGGGCGAGGGACTCCCTCAAGGTCACGCGGCAGGCCGGGGCTGACGGGGGCGAGTGGGGCGGCGCGGGGTGAGGCGAGCCGGCCTCTGTCCCCCTGGGCCTGGGCCCGGCTGGCACAGGCTGTCCCCCAGCGAGGAGCCAGGCAGGCC